ATGCACACATGCTTGGCATTGATTTTTAAGTAGTTAGGGCCAGGATTTGAGCCACAGTCAACCATATGGGTCTTGGGCTTTCTATGTACAATGCTTAACTGCTGTGCTACAAGGCCAACCCTGTCATATTTTCCTTATCCACAATTTTCATCCTTGTTGGTTAGAATTAAGTCTGGAAAGTATTTCCCCTCCCCCCTACTTTTGCAACTTCCTTCTTTATTTTTAACTTTCTTTGCACATATTACAAGATTTGAAATGATCACATCCAATATGTTTCAGATGATGCTGTTAGCTGGAGAATTCCAGCAGATGTTAGATGTTTGTCTTCCTGATTACAGTATTATCGTTCCTCTGTTTCAGTTTTGTACTTTGCCTGACAAAAGCATTAGCTATAACCTGTCTGCCCAGGTGATGTAACATACTGGTTACATACTGCCATCAAGCTATAACTTCTGTTTCCTCTCCTTTTCATTCTCATACCCATACTCTCCACCACACATTTCCACTCAGGTTTATGGATCTCAGTATTGTGGTCTTTTCCTTTTGAACAAGATATATATTTTCATTACCATAATCCAATCGGAAGTTCCTTCTCACCAAGTCTTAATGATACCAAGAGGACCACATTATTTACCCTTTTAAATTGAGAAATTATTTCAAAATCACAGAAAAGTCACAAGACTAGCACAAAGAACATCTATATTCTCTTTTTTCTTTTTGGAGGGGGCAAGAGACAGAGAGAGACAGAGAGACAGAAAGCTAGAAATCACCCCCAAGGGGGGATGGCCGTACCACAATCCCTTCTCCATTCTCCTCTCCGGATCTTGGGCATGCATACACATGCACCCGGCATGAGTTTAAGTCACCAGGTCCGGGATGTGAATCGTGGTCAACTACGTGGGAGTCCAGTGACATAGCCATTGCGCTAACTGCTGGTCCCTCCACCCATATACTCTTTATTTCTGATTCACCTATTGTTAATATTTTGCCCCATTTCCTTTATCATTTCCTTTTTTAAGTTTTTTGCCATAAGACATGTGTGCTTGCCAGAGGGAGACAGTAAGAGAGAAAGTGAGAAACCAACCCCCCTCTCCAAGGAGGATTGCCACACCTCCTCCTGGGCCTTTGGGCACACATGCTCATGTGCCTGGAGTGATTGTCAAGCTACCAGGTCAGGACTCGAACCATGGTCAGCCGTATAGGAGTCCAGCACCTTCACTACTACACCACCTGCTGGTCGCTCCTTTATCACTTTCTAGCATTTTCTAACTCTCTTTATTGTTTTGGAGCCATTTGAGAACAAATTACATATATCATGGCCTTTTACCCCTGAATTCTTCTTCAAGTTTTTCCTAAGAATGAGAAGATTCTCTTACATAATCACACTACAGTTATCAAGTCTGAAAAATTTAACATTAATGCAATACTTTTATATAAATGACCATTCATATTCCAATATTCTTTATTAAATGTGAAGAACTCAGTGCTGTTCAATATAGTCTAAGATCAGGTATTACATTTAATCATCATATTGCTTTAGCCTTCTTTAATCTGGAGCATTCCCTCAGCCCTTCTTTCTCTTTAATGACACTGACTTTTTTTAATAGTGCTTTTTTTTGCCTTAGGGTGCATGTGCTCACCAGAGAGAGTGAGAGAGACAGAGACAGAGACAGGGAGAGGGAAAAGTGAAAAGTCAGCCTCGCAAGGGGGGATATCCATGCTGCAATCCCTTCTCCTCTAGTACATGCATGCACACATACCCAGCATGAGTTTCAAGGCACCTTGTCGAGAACTCAAACTGTGGTCAGCCAAGTGGGAGTCCAGTGATGTAACTGCTACGCCATCTGCTGGCCCCAACATCAATTTTTTTTTAATTTCTCTATTATATGGTTCTTCCTTTTGAGTTTGTCTCATAGTTTTCTCACAATTATCTTCAGGTTATGTATTCACAACTGGAATACTGATAAATGATGTTGTGTCCTTCTTGGGGTATCATATCTGAAGGGACTTGATGCCTACTTGTCCTTCATTGGTGATGTCAGTTTTGATCATATGGTCAAGATGTCTAATTTTTCACTGTATAGTGACTGTTTTTTCATTTGTCACTAGCAAATCTGTGTGGTGATACTTTAAGACCATGAAAATATCTTGCTTCCTCATCAAATACATCTCATCCCCCCACCCCACCGTTTCAGCATCAATTAATGATTCTTGTTTGATCAACTCTCTTTTATGATAATTGCAAAATGGTGTTTTTCTAGCATTTACAAGTTGACACTTGGTATTCTCCTGTAAGCAACAGCCCGACTACTGGTTTTCCCCTATTTATTTATTTATTTATTTATTTATTTATTTATCAGTATGGACTCATATATTCTCTCTATCTCTCTCTTTTATTTTTTTTTTCAAGAGTTTATAATTTTTTTTACTGCTTTTGCTTATTTTGGTGCTCAAATTCTCCAGATTTAGCCAGTGGGAGCCTTCCCAGGTCCTCCTGGGTTCTCGTGATATTCTCCCATCATTTTCTTGAGCACTTCCTCACTTAATTTCTTTCTTTTTTTTCCCTTTTTCTTTCTTTCTTTCTTTCTTTCTTTTTTTCTTTTTTCTTTTTTTTTTTTTTTGGCTTATCATAGGCTCATTTTGACCTTATTCTGTTTCAGCCTCGAAATAAGACATTTTTCCCCTCAAGAAATCATGGCTCCTTTTAGTGGGAGAATGATATTAAAGACCGAAGTATTAGATAAACATCCATGCCTCTACATATATATGCATATACATACACATATATGTCTATGTGTACCCATGCATATGCATATATTAGAAATCATGAGTTTATATCAGCATCTCCAGTTCCAGTCCATTCTCTTTGGGTGCTTTATTTCTTTATATATTTGTATGTTCCTTCTTCGACAGGGAGAATTCTGGCTTAACAACATTGATGCATATGTATTCATTAGCTCAATCCCATAATTCATTCCTAACAGTTACAGAATTGCTTTGACATACCACTACAAAAACAACTTTCCTAACATACTTCAGGATTTTTTTGCAGTTCTTCTCCTGTCTCCACTGCTTTAGTATGGTTTATTACTCATTTAAAATGTAGCTGGGTTCATTTATTTCAGTTTGTCTCCAGTTTTAGTCCCCACATTTCCCATCTTTGTTTTAAAATTAAATGTTTGGTTTTGTAAATCAACAATGTGTTTCCTAAAAGAAAAACTATATGAAAAAGTACACTCAAGAAATGTCATTCTTTCCCATATCCTTTCAATCTGTTCCCTAGCCCCATACCTTGTAAGTAACCACCTTTATTGTTTTCTAGTTTATCCTTCCTATTGTTATTATTGTAAATATATGCATGCTTGCTTATTTGCCTTTCTTTCTCTCAAAAAAGTGGCATGCTATGTACTTTTTTACAATTTGCTTTTTTTCAATTGACAATATATCCTGGAAATCATTTTATATCACTTCATAGAGAACTTCCTTAAATTTTTTTCACAACTGCATAGCACTTCATTGCAAAGTCTATTATGGCTTGTTTTCTTATTGTTGGAAGTGTATCTGGAAGATTATGTATTTTCTTATTTGTATTAACATTTTCTGTGCAGTCTGTGATTCATACCATGCATTGGTACATAGATATGCAAGGCTTCAAACATTGTTTCTGGCTCTTATCTTTATTGATTTTTCATATAAATTACAGGGTATCTTTACCAGTTCTTCTTTTTATAGCAGACCTGCTTGTACTCTATTATTCATGTTTTTTGACATTTTAATTTAGGCTCTTTCTACTTGTCCTCAAATCAATTATAACACCCTTTTGATTAGGTCTTTGTGAAACACTCATGACTTAGCACTTTCAATCTTCAACATTACTAAATCCCTTACTAGAGCTTCACAGAAGACTTAATTCACTGCTCATTGTCCTTGTTAGCTCTTTTCCACCCTCTGTAGAAGTGTGGCGAAAAAGTGGTAAACTGATTGAAGCAGATAATAGAAGAGAGAAATCTAGATAATCCACAGGCTAGATTGTTGGTTCCTTTTTATAGGAAGCCCGCCAAATATGTTTTTAATTATGTATTTTTTACCCCTGTTTAAATCAATGTTTATACTATGAAGATTCTTATTTCATTCCCTACTTGGGAAGAGAGAATATTCCAGACAATAATGTGTTTCTAGACTATCCAACCTCAAATGGGAATCAGAGCTGGGAAGGGTTAAAAATGTGTAGTGTCAGAACAAGGAGATAATGTCTCACTTTGATATCATGTTATCTCCTTGACTTCCTTATGATAGATAGCTTGGAGCTCAGCTAGTTTGGGAAGTAAGGGTGAAGATGGGATGGGAAAGTGGGATAAGAAGCCTTGAAAGCCTCACTACCTTACAGAGACAAAGGAATATTTTGGTCCACCCCCATGTAATTGTAATGTAGTGGAGAGAACATTGGATAAGGATTAAAAGATACCAGGGTTCTACTCTCGCACTATCGCCAACCATATGTGGTCTTAAGCAAGTCACTTTTCTTCAACCTAGTTTCACATTTGTAAAATGAGGATATATATGATGTCCAGGTGTCCTTTCAGCTCCAAGTTTCCCTATTTCTATGCTCTGCACAGGACCATTCCATCCATACAAGACCAGACTCGGCTTTTGAGGAGTGGACAATTTGGGGTAAAGATACAGATCCTCCATAAGAGTGATGATTCTGGATTTTGTATAGTGACCATTCCTGTGTTATTTGGGGAGAAAAAATGAAACATCCTAACTTTTGCTAGTGGTTGCATTCCTTTGTCAGAAGCAAGGAGCCTGGCATAAGCCTAGCTCTGTGGGAGAAAAGAAACAGAGTGGGATAATAAGTCCTGGTTCATCTCATTATGTCTAACACTCAAAAGAAAACAAAATCAATTCAGTTTGGGGTGGGGAGACTTCTGATGCATTTTCAGTGTGTTTTCATCCTTTCCTCTTACCTGCTTATGTCTTTGTCTTTCCTTACTTTACAGGCCTATATAACTCAGTGGATAGCTGGATGATTGTGCCCAACATTAAACAGAACCATTACACGGTGCATGGACTCCAGAGTGGGACACGCTACATCTTCATTGTTAAAGCCATAAACCAAGCAGGCAGCCGGAACAGTGAGCCTACCAGACTGAAAACAAACAGTACGTTGTTCGTGATTTTGAAAGAAAAGATCAGCTTTCCTCTCCATGCCAAGGAGTACAATTAGCCTGAGCAGGCACCCACAGCAGGGCATGAAAACAGCTGCATGGGGTAGAGGAGCTTTACCATTGTAGTTTGTGCTTTGGGCAAGGGGTTTATTAGTACTTCCTGGGAAGTTTGTGGATATGGGGATATACATGAAATAGCTGGTAGATTGAGAGGAGGTTAGTGAAGTTTTTCTTGTACTCGCCAGACAGACACAGAGAGACAGAAAGCAAGAAATCACCCCCCAGGGAGGATGACCACACCGCAGTCCCTTCTCTTCCATCCTCCTCTCAGGATCTTGGGCACGCACGCACGCACACGCACCCGGCGTGAGTTTAAGCCACTGGGTCTGGGGCTCGAACCACGGTCAACTATATGGGAGTCCAGCGACATAGCCATTACGCCAACTGCTGGTCCCAGTAAAGAGTTTTTCTTTTCACTCCATCCCCAAGGCTTAGGAGACAGTTGAGTAAAAGTATTATTTGTGATAATTCAGTAAAATCCTACTGCAGAGAAGGTGTATATATTAGGAATGTATTTGATCGCAAATAATAGGAAGTACAACTAATTTAGCTTAACAAATAGCATCTCTCAGTAGCTAAACAAGTATTAGTTCTCACATACACATAGCAAGAAATATGAAAGTACTCAGTTCAGGGCTCCAGCAGCAGTTCTGACATTGTAAGAGAGGCAACTTCCTTCTCTCTTTTGTTATTTGTCAATTGCCACATGGTTGCAAGATAGACACTGTAACCTCCAACTGTCATATTTCCTTTCAAGATAGGAAGAAGGAAGACAGGGTTAGTACATCTGATGACTATCCCTTTTACTGGAACAAAAACTTTCCTAGGATTTTCCCTTACTCTGTCTGACTTGTGTTTCTGTTTCCATCTTAATTAGCCACTCCTAGGGGCACAGGAGGCTGGAAGATTGAGCTTTCCCCATCTCTATAGTGAAAGTGGGTAAAGATAAAAGTTTGGAATGGGTGTTGTGTTAACCAGCAGTGTCTGTCACAGGAGCAGTTTGTATAATAAAGCTGTCGCCTTACCCAACAACAGCCCCAGTAACAATGCTTTTGTCTTATGGTTATACGGAATTATGTTGTGAATGATCAATATAACAAATGTTTTCTCTGATCACTGATAATGCAACAGTCATTCCAATAAAGTTGCCTAATTATATGTTGATTACATCCCAGTTGTGATGGGGAAACAAGTGTTATGTTGCTGAATTCTTAGGCTTTATTTTTTGTTCTGCCCGCTAAGTAGCAATTACCTTATCAATTCACCTGACTTTATCTCACCTCAAGCATCACAATACTCATTCCCTTAAAGTTTTCCCAAATCTAATCAGAATGTCTTAAGATTTAAAATTTAAAAAAAAAGAATGATAAGTGCTGGCAAAGCTGTGGTGAAAAGGGGGCTCTATATAAATTATCCAGCCACTATGAAGAACAATATGGAGGTTCCTCAAAGACCTACAAACAAAACTACTATATAATGCAGCAGTTCCACTCCTGGGTATCTACCCAAAGGATGGGAATACAGTTGGCTAGAAAAGAACCTGCACATCCATGCTTATTATGACATTATTTACAATTGCTAAGACATGGGACCAACCCAAATATCCACAGACAGATGAATGGATTGAAAAAGTATGGCACATATACACTACAGAATATTACTTAGCCATAAAACAATGAGACTCTGGCATTTGATAGGAAGTGGATGAATATGGAGGATTTGTTGCTAAGTGAAGCAAGACAGACTGTGAAAGAGAGGTATTGTATGTCCCCACTCAATATATACCTAATGCCTGCACTCCATGGCAGAAACCGAAAGATTAGAAGGTATAAAAGCATGGAGAGCAACTGTGGATACTATAGACAGTGTGGGAGGAGGGTGAGAAATGGGGGAGGGGGACCAGCAGTTAGCGTAATGGCTATGTCGCTGGACTCCCATGTAGTCGACCGCGGTTCACTTCCCGGACCTGGTGGCTTGAATTCACGCCGGGTGCATGTGTGTGTGTGCCCAAGATCCCAAGAGGAGAATGGAGGAGAAGGGATTGTGGCGTGGCCATCCCCCCTGGGGGATGATTTCTCGCTTTCTATCTCTCTGTCTCTCTCTGTCTGTCTGGTGAGTGCACACGCCCTATAGCAAAAACCTCTCCAAAAAAAGAAAAAGAAAGAAAGAAAGAAAAGAAATGGGGGAGCATGTGAGGGAGGAAATCTAGGGGAAAAAGAAAGAAGCAAAACATATAAGGGACACAAAAACAGAAAATTATCTGTTGATAATAATGCGTATAGTAATATCTTAGAATGGACTAATATACAGTGTATTCACACTGAGAAAATTCATTTTGTATGCTGTAATGATACACAGTGATTGAATGTAATTTTTTTTTCATTTTAAAAAGTCTGCCCAAATCCCAAACCACCCACTGAAATAAAGAACAAAACATATTTTAGAACTTGAGACTTTGAGAGTTTCCTTTTAATTTGATAGTATATGATGGGGGCAGCTTATTAGCTCCTTGTATGCTTAGATTATAACTTCTAACAAAATGCTTATATGAATAATGCACATTGTTTTCCACAGAGGGAAAATAAATACCCCCATGAAGGTTGTCTTATGGGAAATTGACCTCTATTCTTACCTTATTGAAAACTGTGGCTTCTGAACTGCTTCTGTAATGTCATCTAAACAGCAGCTAACTTACATTGACCCAGGAATGATCATATCAAGGCTTTCCTGATAGTGATTGTTCTGGAGAATGGGAGTAGAATTCATAAATACTTCATCATGCTTTTTCTTTTTTTTTTCTATTCTTTTTCAGGCCAACCGTTTAAACTGGATCCCAAAATGACACACAAAAAGTTGAAGATCTCCAATGATGGACTGCAGATGGAGAAGGATGAAAGCTCTCTGAAGAAGAGCCATACCCCAGAGAGGTTTAGTGGTACAGGGTGCTACGGGGCTGCAGGAAATATATTCATTGA